ATATGAAAAACAAGAAATAAAGTACTTACCCAATCTTCTTTTTTCTTGCCCTTGATTGTCGATGAAACCATGTTGACTATCCAACAAAATCTTAAACTTTGTTAAATGATTTTGCAAATCATCTTTTATCAGACTTTCAAAAACTTTACTCACCACTGATGTAAAACTAATAGATCTATAATGACCAGCACAAATTTTATCATTTCCCTTGAAAAGAGTAGTAACATTATCCAACTTCCTATCCTTTGCCACCTGCCCACTATCCGAGGACTTAAAGAAATAGTGGTAAGTGACTCATATAACTAATCTTTAACATTTTTCAAAACTTTGGGGGAAATATTATCTTGCCCAGGAGCCTTATCATCTGTTAAACTTCCCAATCTTTCTTAAGCTCAGAAGTATTGTGATCATCTAGTTCAATTTATATATATATATAATAGCCAAATTTTTGTTTGTCTGTCTTGCTCTGTCTCTCCTGATGATTAATCATAGAAAAAAATGCTTCTTTTTCTAGCATACATAATAAGAAAATTATTCATGTTTTGCAACTCCTTAAATTTCATACATCGATCCATCAATCTTCATATGTGCTGAATGGTCCATCTTAGAAAAAACTTATTAAGAACAAAAAAGGTTGTTTTTTTTTCTGAACAAATTTTACAAAAAAAATGGGAATTCTTGCGTTGACTGATTGAAAGAAATAGATAGGAGCATGAATGGAAAAAAATTATTAAGAGAGCAACATTTGTTTGAGTATATATTTGTTGTTGTTCAGTTTATATGTATTTTTTTATTTTTCCTGTCGGTATTATATATATATGCATGATTTTATTGTACCATGATGAGTGAATTGATTTGAATCAAATTATCTTCCCTTTGACACTTCTTATAGAAATGGCAATTGTTATAAAGGGCTTACTTCTGTAGAGGTCTTTTCTTGCACTCAGTAAAATGACAAGGAACAGTGGCATCCAGTGGAAAAAATCCCAGCACTACTATAATATTTACCCATTGCATCGAAAAACCAAAGATTTTTACCAACAATGCATTGTATTCAGTCTCCTTTGCTTAAAAACAAAGCAATGCAGTTTTCATTATTGAAAGGAAAAAAGATGGTTGTAAACAGCTCACTAGATAACCATATTGCATATACATCCTGGGTTGACTGCACATTTTATATTTATATGTCACTGTTTTTAGGTAAATTACTGTTGAATTGTTTTAATGGGCATCTGCTAGTCTTATATATATTATTTATTGAAAATTTAGCCTTTTTTTTTCTCTACTCAACAAAAAACTGCAGTAAAGATTGGACTTACTCCACCCCCAGGATATTAGAAGTTTGTATTTTAAGTTTTGAATATTTCCTGAATCTCAATTATGGACAAATATTATTGAACCTCTAGCTTTGAGCAAATGAAAGTGGTTGAGGTTAAACCCAGGTATTTTTTAAGCATTTTCTTTTTAATTCTTTATGCTAATTCTTATTTAGTTCAAGTTACTCAGTGCATGAGATTTAGTTAGAAATAACTCTCTAGTTTCAAATTTGTGACTTGAATATTTCCTTTAGGGCATGACCGAGGGGTTAACTGGGCAGCGTTTCATCCAACAATGCCTCTGATTGTGTCTGGAGCAGATGATAGACAGATAAAACTTTGGAGAATGAATGATTCCAAAGCATGGGAAGTTGACACATGTCGTGGACATTATAACAATGTGTCTTGTGTCACATTTCATCCCAGGTTTGTTTGTCTTTTTATAATATTTAATGAAGTGTACTAAATCAATATTTAATAAAGTTCCATTGTCACTTATTTTGAATGCAGAGAAATATAAAACTGACAAAATACTGTACTATTAGATGTCAAAGCTTATAATGCAAACCTGCATCTGAAGTTTGTGACAACTTTCCATTATAAGTATCCCCTCCAGGGGATTAAAGAGGTGAATTTACAAAAACAAGGGAAACCAAGTTTTTAAATAGTTAAAGGTAAATGCTAAATTTCTGTAACTCTTTAAAACTCATCTATCCCAAGTAAATTTCCAAGAGCCATAAAGCAAACCAAATGGAAAGAAAATTCATCAGTTTACACTCTGTTTACAATGACATACAAACAGTTTAAAAAATCAGGTTTCTCATATACATTATAGTTTGTTTTTTTGTTCAAGTAAGGAAGGGCTTGAGAGCAAAGCATAAGCTTTCCTAAAATCAGTAATAATTATGATTGGGATAACTGGCATTATCAGGTTGTTGTTTTCAACTTTAAAAAACAAACAAAATTATGTAATGTGTCTAAGAATATTTCTGATACTGTAGTTTCACATTTTTTTTCTCCCTTTTCATTAATTCCATCGGAAGCAGAAAAAATATGGTTTAACTAATTGTCTGTTTTCTTCACAATTTCATGCTCGACTAATCTTGTAATTTATTTTGAATTACTTAAAAATAGAAGTTGGTTCAACTAAATATTTCATACAAGGCAGATATGAATTTTCTTGTCTTCACAAGCACCTTCATAAAGGCAACGAGTTGAAATGGCATCATAAGATCCCAATGGCACATGACATACTACAGCAAAACATTTTAATAATACAGTGTGTTAAATTCTTTTTGAATATCATTTATATTTGAATAAGCTTGAGTAGGTATCTTTATTGAAATTTTTAATATTTTTTTCAGACAAGAACTTATTCTTAGCAATTCTGAGGACAAAAGTATTCGTGTGTGGGACATGTCCAAACGAACCTGTCTACACACATTCCGTAGGGATCACGATCGTTTCTGGATCTTGACTGCTCATCCTAGTCTCAACATCTTTGCAGCAGGACATGACAGTGGAATGATAATTTTTAAATTGGAGCGGGAAAGACCTGCCTTTGCCGTTTACGGTAACATTCTCTATTATGTTAAAGAAAAACATCTCAGGAAGCTTGACTTCACTACTTCTAAGGATAGAGCCGTGTTTCAGCTTCGAGCAGGAAGTAGAAGTCCTGTTTTCAAGTAAGTTTGGTAAATATTTTCTGATCCAGGAGCTTTATCAATCTTTAAACTTCTCCATTTTTCTTACCAACTAAAAATTAATGTAATTATCTTGTTCAATTTTGTTTCCATCTAGAAACTGTTCAGGATGAGGAATATTGCTTGAATATTCATTAGTAGAACTGGAAGAAAAGGTAGAATTTAATAACCCTCAGATATTAGCCTTCCTGTATCATCCTTAAAATACCTAACTCCCATATTAACATTTTGCCTGCTCTTAATATGTTTGAAGAAATTCTTACTATTAATTTCTACATTTTTCTGCCAACCCTTTTTCATAACCTTTTTTTTT